CAAATTAGGAACTTTCACAATGAAAAGACGGAAATACCCCTCAGACCTCACACCAAAACAAACAAACAAAAAAATCCTTAAACCCTTATTTTGTTTATTCTACAAGGGGTAAAACCCTAGAGACAACCTGTGGCTCCTTCAGATCTATCGGCACCGCCGCCGCCGCAAGCCCAACCCACCGCCACGGCCGCCGCCGCAACGGTTACGTCGTCATCAAAAGCCGTCTCTGCGGGTCTTCTCTCTTTCTCTCTCTAACGCAATTCTGTTTTTATTTTGTTCTCGTTTGATTAAGATATCATTGTTCTCTTTTTTTCTACTGTTGTTCGTGTAATGGATTTGGATGGACGATTGATGCGGTTGAATTTGAGTTGATTACCATTTTTCCCTTTTTGCATATGCTCAGACTTTGGATAGAATTTCGGGTTTCATTTTGTTGGATTTAACTGGTAATGTTGAAAGCAAGTTCATAAATTGACTATATATGGGATTAATTAGTGCTTTAATCTCGTAATTGGTGGTCTTATACTGTCCAAATTGTCGAAACCGTTAGGTTTTTTTATTTTTATTTTGTTAAATATCTAGTCTCTGCTGATTTGATGTTTTTGGGAGGCCTAGGGTTGAATTCATGATTAGGGATTTCTTTGATGTTGGTTTTGGCATTTGCGTGGTTTTGTTACATGAGCATAGATCCTTGATTGGAAAGTTTTTATTTTATAGTGTGTATATATATACACCAGGAACGCTTTGACCCTTTTTCTGATATTGTGTTTTTGAATCAGTTTTAGGGTCAAATACCATATAACCCTTGAAAATTTTCATTCCCAAATCCGAATCCTAAGCCCCAAAGCCATCAAGAAAAATGTCATCCTTTGCTGCCGCCAGGTCTGTCCTCCGATCTACAGCCACTCGAACCGCCTTGGGCTCCCGGCTTGCCTCCGGCTCCAGACCTAAACCTGCTTCTTCACCGTTCCGCATTCCCAAACTGAATCAGAACCGCCTCTCTCGTCCCACATTCAGGTAATCCAATGCTCATTTGGTGATTATATAGATACATTTATTTGCTCTATGCTTAACTTTTTGTTTGGCTGCAAAGAAGGTCGGCCGAGGAGATGAGCCGCTGCCTGGGATCATTGCTTCCTTATCACAGTGCCACTGCCTCTGCATTGCTTACTTCGATGCTTTCAGACTCTTGCCGCACCTGCTGTTGGACTCCTGAAGGTATTTATTTGCTCTTTTTTTCAGTTTTTGAAACTGAGCTGCTCTAATTTTTGGATTATGATAGCAGTTATAATAGCTCTTTTTGTACAAAATTTATATGTTTCTTTTTTCTTGAATTGTAGATCTTTGATTTTCTGTTGGGATGCTGTGCACTGTTGGTAGTTTTCAGTCCCCCACCAGCACCAATCATAAATCACATTTGTCTCAAAAACCTCTGCAACATTTTACCTACCCAAACAAAGTTGTCTAATTTTCATTTCATGTTATTTATGTCCATGGCTTTTTCTTGCATTGTAGATGGTTGATTGTTCTGTTGGGATGGAGGTGCAGTGGTAGTTTTCATAAATTGAATCAGACTTTGTAACAGATGCTGGAAACAGTCATATTTATTGAAGTTTAATATTTTGAAGGAGTTCTTCTTATTTCATGTTTAAATACTTGTTAAAACTTCTCCCTCCACTCCACTGCAATATTATTAATTCCTGTGCCTCTAATACAACTTTGAACTTTTCTTGGTCTTTCTTTTCTTACGCCTGTTTACTAATTTAAATGCTATGCAACTCTAGATCTAATTAATGTTATCCCGTAATCCCATTATCAAGTTTAAAGTTAACAGAATTTTAACATCAAGATCCTTCCTTCCTTTGTGCTGTTTTGCTAATCAAAATCCTTCCTAATCCTTTTATGTTTGAAATTGCAAACTCCTTCTACTATAATTTGTGGGGCGCTTCAACAAACGGTCCTGCTATTACAACTTTTCCTAGGTCTTCTGTTTAGCAATTCCAATACTGCGCAACTCTTATTGAACACGTTTATTACTATAGACACACATACTAATGCCGCTGGCCAATGATTGTAGTAAGATGGGTTAAGGTAGTGGAAGAAGGGAATGGAGAAATGTGGATCTTGGGTATTCCATAAATCTGACAGACTACATTATTTGTTCGTGCAGGCACATAATGTCAAATATGCTTTAAAGAATTAAACTGGGAATGAGAATTTACAGGACATGCTAATAATGGCCCCTCACTGCGTCATTATCTCAAGTACGACGCATTCTGTTTTCCCCTAGAAAGTAGAAGCCTTAGGAGGATTGCTCAATTATGTTATTTTCGAGATATTTTTCTTATACGAAACAAAAATGTTGATTGTACTAATACTTTTCAATTTTCATAGTTCAAAAGGAACCCACACTTGCGTTGCAGATGAAAGATTTCTTTCGATTCGTTTTGTCTTCCTCTTCTTCTTGATATTATTTTACTAGACTGTTCAAATCGTGGTACTTGATTTTGTTTCTCCCCTGCTTTCGAGTTCATCTTCTCGCCTTTATTCTTGAAGCCCCTTTTCTCTAGTGTTA